GGTCTGGGGTGGCCGCTTCTGTAGAGTCGTCCTGGAGTGAGGGGGGCGGTGAGCAGCTGGAGAACAGGAGATAGAAGGAGAGGGTAAGTGAGGAAGGCGAGGCTCCAGCTCCTCCCCAGGAAAGCGGACCTGCCTGTCTTTCCACTTTCCTGTCCCCGCCAGTGGCTACTGCCCACCTGGCCACCCTCTCCCTGAACAGTGAGGCAGTGTGATCAAGTGGTTGCAAGCCACACCGAGACAGACCAGGGCTCAAGGTCTGGCTTTGACCCTTACTGCTTCCTGTGTGGCCCTGGACAAGTCCCTGAGCTTTTCTTAGCCTCTGTTTTCTCATGTGCAATGTGACAACACGAGGGCCTTCCTGGTGAGGGTGTTGAGAGAATTAAAGAGTGCCCATGCCCCAGCCGGTTTGGCTCAGTGGATTGAGCGTTGGCCTGCGAACTGAAGGGTCCCAGGTTCGATTCTGGTCAAGGGCCTATGCCCGGTTGTCGGCTCGATCCCCAGTAGGGGGCGTGCAGGAGGCAGCCGAAGAGTGAGTCTCTCTCATCATTGTTGTTTCTATCTCTCTCCCCCTCTCTGAAATTAATAAAAATATGTATTTTTTAAAAAGAGTGCTTAGAATGCCCTGGCCGGCGTGGCTCCGTTGGCTGGACGTTGTCCTGTACACCAAGAGGTTGTAGGTTCGATTCCCGGTCAGGGCATATACCTAGGATGCGGGTTTAGTCCCCAGTCAGGGCACATATGGAAGGCAACCAATAGATGTTCTCTCTCACGTTGATGTTTCTCTCACTCTGCCGTCCCTGCTCTCTAAAATCAATAAGCGCCCTGGCCGGCTTGGCTCAGTGGATAGAGCATCGGCCTGCGGACTGAAGGGTCCCAGGTTCGATTCCACCCAAGAGCACATGCCTGGGTTGTGGGCTCCATCTCCAGTGTGGGGTGTGCAGGAGGCAGCCAATCAATGATTCTCTCTCATCATTGATGTTTCTCTCTCTCTCCTTCTCCCTTTCTCTCTGAAATCAATCAATCAATAAATAAAATAAAATAAAATGAAATGAAATCAATAAGCATATTCTCAGGTGAGGATTTAAAAAAGTGCTTAGAACGTTGTTAGCATTCAATAAGAGTCAACCATTATTATTACTGCTGTGGTAATAATAATAAAGCAGAATTCTGGAGCTAGGCCTTCACTCATTCCTACCTCTCAGCGCACGTTTGTAATTAATCACCAAGTCCCAAACTTGCGCACCTTGCCATGGGTGCTCTGCGGAGTGAGGGCGAGGTGGGAGACACGGTGGGAGACAGCTCTCAGCTGCAGCACAATGGGACACAGAGATTGCATTATCTCATAATGGAATTCTACTGTGTGAATAGCTGCAAATGCCTGAGGCCACAATTCTGCAATAATTACCATATCTTTGAGAACTTTCTGCACCATCAGTGAGAAAACAGAATTCAAAATTACCCAACAAAACCGTCCTGAAAACCTAGTTTCTTCTGAGCCAATTTACTCTTTTCTAAGCCTGCCTGCTGATAAAAGGTGGCATCCATATTCTGCCATAACAATAATACGCGTGGCCTCCGCAAATTACTTGCAGTTCTGCAAGAAATAAAAATCAGCTCCACATCTCTACACCCTTTTATCACGTCTCAGAAGCCACTGTATTAAAAATTAAGTGAAGCCTAGCAAAACAGCCCCCAGTGCACTGAATATGTACCCCCTCCACCCAGCTGTTCTCACGACCCCTCTCTCTTTAAAATGAGGGCGCACAAAAGGGGAGATCCTGGCACGCCCAGGAGCAAACCCCTGTCACACCGAACTCACTCAGTGGGGAGATGAGTCACCAGGTCTCCAAAAACCCTTTGAAAGTTAATTTTAATCAGTTTGTGAGTGGATTTTGGGAACCCTTTACTCCTCAAATTTCTATGATGTTTTATTTCCAATATGATCCATTTCCTTGTCATTCATTTCTTTTCTGTGATTCAGGCTAGAAATGCGACTTAACCGCTACTTACTGGGTTGCTGTGTAAGGGAAACCGAGGTGCTCACATTTCTGACCCACAGTTTTGGATGCTGTGTCCTCAGACTCACCTGGTTCTCTCTTGCTCTCAGCTTTTGTACACGCTATTCTCTCTGCCCAGAACAGGGGTCCTCAAACTACGGCCTGTGGGCCACATGCAAACACAAATACTGTATTTGTTCCCGTTTTGTTTTTTCACTTCAAAATAAGATATGTGCAGTGTGCATAGGAATTTGTTCACAGTTTTTTTTTTTTAAACTATAGTCCGGCCCTCCAACGGTCTGAGGGACAGTGAACTGGCCCCCTGTTTAAAAAGTTTGAGGACCCCTGGCCCAGATCCTCTCTGCCCTGACTCCCAGGGCTTGACAGACTCCTGCTTATCCTCCTGAATTCGGTTTGGACTCCATTTCTGCCAGGACGCGCGCCCTGACTCCAAATCAGAGCCGGTTGTCACTCTGTACCAGGCGCCCCCACACCAGCCTGTGCTCACCAAGTTCATAGGACTTACACGTTGCACTCTCATCACCCATTTACCTCTCCGCGTCTCCACCAGACTGTGACTCTGAGACAGGACTGCCTCCATCTTGTTCACCATGGTGTCCCCAAAGTCCAGCAAATTACCGATGCATAACCGGGGCTGCTTAGGTATGTAAAGGGTGAACACACGAGTCATTGGACAGTAAGTAAACTGTCAAGTATTTTTATAGCTGCCTGATCCGAGCCTCAAGTTCCCAAGTAGAGTACTTAAGAGAGTAACATCTAATGAAGTGTTTTAAAACTGAGATAATTACAATCAGAATATACCCGCTTCTAAGTTAAGCCAAGTTTGTTCTATTCGTTTAATGGAGTTGGCTAAATAGAAACTCAAATAAGTGCTTGCTAATTAACAAATTGCTGAATTAACATACATGAGCTCTAGTTAAAATCTGAAGTTACCACGAGTGTGTACTAAGCACACAGTGAGTAAGGTCGTTTCTCAAAGGGACAGTTTTTGTTGTCTGTGTTATTTGTGAGGTTTCTCTGAGTAAATTTCTAGACATTGGAAGCAGCACATTTTGGTGGCGGGGGTGGGGAGGGAGGAGTGCTTTATTTCTGGAGGGTTTTTATTCTCCACTCTGAGCAAGGTGCAGCTCAGAAATGTCCTACCCAGTACACAAAGGAGACACCGAATCCTTCTATCCCCTACGAGTCCACTCGTGGATCTCCCAGATGTAGGAAGAAAGCCAATAGGAGATGTCTTAGGACTTTTTTATGCTCTATTTTATTCCATAAAGAAGTTTATTTGGCCAACATGTCATTAGTGACATTTATTTCATTAATCCTGGAATTCATATTTCAGCTCAAAAGTTCCTTAAAAATTCCTTTGCCAGGTTAAATCCTCAAGAACCTTCCCCAGAACTATTAGCCTTTACATTTTTGAGAAAACAATTTGATCTCTGCAATTTCTCTAGAACTCAAGCTCTGTGAGGACAGGAGCTACGCCTGGTTTTGCTCCCACCGTATCCCCAGGGCCTGGAGCAGTCTGATGAGTAACAGGAACTGAGAAAGACCAAGGCCCGATGGATAAATGATGGCAGAAACCACTTTTCCCCAAGGGCCCTTGTTGAGCTGCACCGATTCCAGCTCTCACTCTGAAAACCCGGACAGGCGACAGAACAGAAATCGCCTCGCCCACGGTGGAACTCTAGCGAGAGATGCTCCTTCCAGCAAGGTCGAACCCAATGACTATGCAATGAGCGTGAATTGGAAACGAACCAGACCCTATGAGGAATTGAAGTCTGGGATTAGGCTGGGTATTCTAGAACACTCTAACAAAGGTCTTCAAGAACCTGTACCGCCTGGCACTCTGCCCTGCCTTGCCTCCCTGGCCTCGTCTCCTCCCGCTCTCCCCTTTCCTCACTCACCGCAGCCACCCTGGCCTCCTTGACATCCCTCAAACCTGCCCAGACCTTCCTGCTTTTGAGTCTCTGCACTAACAGTTCCCTCCAGTGCTTGACTAGTTTGCATGAAAATCAATTCTGATTTGGGAGTGGCATCCAGGCATTAGAGTATTTTGTACACGTCCTGTATTTCTTCGAAATTATCAGGAATCATTGTAGCTTTTTACAGATAGCTGTTGAAACTGAGTGATGGGTACATGCAGCCCTTACACTGTTCCATCAACCACATACAAAACAAAATGAAAGCTTCTCCAGTGACCCTCATGTGCAACAGGGTTGAGAAGCATTGGCCTGTCATCCCCAAATGAGACCATCTTGCTCATAAATATCGTAATTGAGACATTTCCAGTTGAAAGGATGTTTTAATGAACTAAAAAGATACAAGAAGAAAAACATCAAATTTATTTTTGAAAATACAAGAAAAGAGAGTATACATTTGAATTCATTTTGCAATATACATGAACAAAAACCTATTCTATGTTCTTTTTGTCTCAATTAAACTCCCAACCAATGTGGCATCCACAAGGAGGGGAAGGTTCTGGCCCTTGGTTTGCAGGACAGAAACCTGGCGTGAGAACATGTGAAACCTGGCGTGAGAACATGTAAAACCTGTGCCCCAGACTCAGTCTTCCTCACTCAAGGCAAAGGCTTGCTGACAGTGATACCCCACACCGATGAGAAGTAAAGGGCCCCTCGCTACCAGCTTCCCCCAGAGCTCTAGAATAGCCATTTCCCATGTGAGGTCTTACCATAGCCTTCACTGATATTTAAATGTATTTTTATTTAAAGTACAGAGCATGGAAGAATGAAATTCTCTTCAGTTTCAAATGAACTAATATCTAAATCTGAAAATATTATCAAAGGTGAACCTTTTCTGTTTAAAAAAATAAACCACCCAAGTGAATTTATTGATGTGCAAGATACTGTTAATAAATCTGACAAAGAAAAATCAAACCGTCAGTCTATTTTGCCATAGTAATGAGAACCTACAGCAGGCTAACTCAGTTTCGGGGAAGTGGAGCCACATGAGCTCTATCAGAAATGGTTACTGGGATGATTCTATTTGATCTGAGCTCTCCTCAGAAGACTGGGGCAGCGGCGAAGCCGTGCTGATTTGGGGGCTATTCCCACTCATTCTTACCAGATGGCTGTTGATGACACCAAGTTCTTGTATCACCATACTCAGGTCTTCGTGTAATTTGACTATTGCATTTTTCACCTCCCCTAGAAGACCCTGGATGGAATTGTTTGCTTTGGGCTCCTGAGGCAGGCCTTTGGTTGTCTGAAAACTAGAACAGGGCACCGAGGTGAAGCGGTCTACATTTTGGGTGGAAAACCCTACCCAATTACTGCGGGAAATATGACTTATCTTCTTGTTAGCAGAATCAGAGTTATCTGGAAGACTTTCCAGTAGATTGAAGTTGTCAGATTCTTCATCAGAAGACAGTGAGCTCCTAGGAGCAAAGGGGTGACGAACCCTGGCTGTCTTATCTTTATCTTTAAAGGGGATAGAAGAAGACTGTTGATGGGACAAAGCCCAGTAGGAAGGTCCAGCCAAAATCCGGGGTAAGAGAGGAGCAGACTTGTCTGGAGAGGCCGTGTCAGGAGACGACATGGATAGAGTAGAAAAGGAGGATGTTCCCTCAGAGGTGGTTGACACTAAAATGTATAAATGAGAGAGAAAGATTATGCAACATACAAATGAGAGTACTAGCTAAAATCATTTTACAATGTCAAATCCGATCTGAAAGGTCTCAACATAAATACACTACTTAGAATTTGATGTGCAAAATAATCATAATAAACCTAAATAAACCTAAAGCAGGAAACAGAGAAAATCTAAGGATTTTCTAAAGGAAACTAAAATAAAATGACCAATATTTATCTTCACTCTCAGATCCTAACATATTTTCATATTCCACTTACCAGCGAGAGCAGAAAGTCAAGTATTACGCTCCATTCTACTGATGGCATTTTAAGTTGACATTTAAAATAGAAAGTCTGAGAAACCTGCAACTTACATTCCTCCTCCATTTTTTCTTCTACAGAGAATACTATGGCAAAACGAACAACCAATTACAACTATCAAAAGTTGTGAAACTAATTTTTTTCTCTCAACAGGCAAATATGTCAAGACTGAAGTCCAGTCCACCTGAGACCCAGAACACCAGCGCACATACGCAATTAGTTTTCCACCAAGAAATTGCATGTAAAGTAAAAAGCTTTCTAAATCTATTCTCCAAAAAAATTAAAGATTTAATAACATTTTAACTTTCTTTCAGGAAAAATGTATTAAGTCTCTTCTTCAGCACTTCATTCTAAATCATTATTTCCCAAAGTGTATTCTGAGGAATGCTGTGTGCCTGACGGTGTAAAAAGATGTTCTGTGAAAACAGGGCTTCCGAGTCAAATCAGACTGCGTGACTGTATACTGTGCCTCCCAATGTCCGTCAGCACAGTATTTACTCATGTTTTTCCAGACTTTCTTGGACCCAGAACTTTTTCTTGTCTCCTAGGAATATCTAAGTACATTCACTTATGTATTAGGTGGTATAAATGGGCTAAATCCAGTTCTAAAGTCTCTGAAATTAACTCTGGACTTGCTACTTAAATTAAAAAGAAACCAAACAAAAAACACTTATTCTCTATAGTAATAGAACAGGGAAATCAATGCTTACCACTTAGCACCTATTACTTATATATTACTTTCTATATTATTTTATTTCCTTTACATACCCACATCCCTTTAAACTAAATTGGACCTCTTGTAAAAATTATGGCTGGTGTAGGCGGCTTCTATTTTCTGCTTCAAAGCTTTCCAGTTCTCGGGGAAAAATCCCAATCACAAAACTTTCTGGGGTGAAACGAGTCCTCTAGTGACGCAGCAGCAGGATACGAAAGGGAAGTGGGCACGTCATCGGCACACGGCCAAGATGAACCAGCACCCTGAGAGTCAGGCTGGCTTATCCACAGCCTATCCTTGGACTAAAAGGGGTGCGACAGTTTCCTACCACGCTGACGACGAAAGCTTCAACATGGGGGGGCCCTGAGTCGCACATGTCCCTGCACCATCCCCGTGTGGTTCCCCTGTTTCCTACACCGTGTCTTTCTCTCTCGTGGTTTACTCATTCGGGAGCAGCACATTCTCCAGCAGTTCACTGGAAAGGGATGCAGGAGAAGGAAACGTTTTGAGAACTTGTTTGTTTGAAAATGTCTGTAAAGAATGATTGGTAGATATGCAAGTCTTTACCAAAAAAGGGAGAGTGGGAGAAAGGGTGAGCGGCTATATTTAATTACTAGAAGGTAGTCACAAAACCCTAGCAATACTGGTCCGTGAACCAGTAGCAGCGGCAGCGGCAGCAGCAGCACCTGGGAATTCGTTAAGGATGAGGTCATGGGCTTCACTGCAGACCCACTAAATCAGAGGCTGAGTGTTAACAGGCCTCCAGGTGTCTCCGGGTGTGCTAGGTTTGAGAATCCCTGCTTTCTACTGTACCTCTACCTTTGTTTCCCCTGCAGCGGCAGCGGCTGACTAAATAGCTTACCACTGTTCACAGTTTCGCAGCTTTGATTCATGGCTACGTGATGCCTTCACTCCAAGGAGCCACTTCACCTCTAATTGCTGCGCACCATTTACTTTTGTTTCCAAACACGGCACAGCTGTACCAGACACTTCAGGCTGCGCTCTGGGGGCGTCTCCCCGCCCGCTCGGGGACCCTTCTCTGACTCACTCTGAAGTTATGTGGGTATCTGGTTAACTTTCATCCCCTTCAAGCAGTTTACCTGCAAAACTGAAACACAGCAATAATGCAGGTAAGCTGCAGTGAATGTGTGATGTACGCACACCAGTTAATGCCCTGCTTGCCTGAAGACTGCACCAATGAAACGAGCCCGAGTGCTGTGCTAGCTCTAACTTCATACTCACGAGTAACACCGACCGAACCATTCTATTACAACTTTAAATTTAAAAAGCATTTAGAACTCTTGGGTGCAAAAGTAAAATGCAAATACATTTCTAGAAATATTTCAGAACTTAGCTGTAAAGCAAATTTTTCTGTAAGTAGTAGGTCCATGGTCAATTAAGTACTTCAAACAGTTCATTGTAAACTACAGGGATTTTTTTTTTTTTCTCCAATTGATTTATTTCAATTTTCCTAGCTGGTTTATAATGGCTGCCAAGTTAGCTATACACATAAATTAAAATATTCTGATTTTGTCCAGTGGTTAAAAAATATTTTACACAAACATTCATAGCAAAATTATTCATAATAGTCAAAAGGAAAAACAACTCAAATGTCCAACTGTGAGTGGATAAATGAAATGTGTGTATCTATACAGTGGAATACTATTCTGCCATAAAAAGGAACAAAGTATGATACATGCTATAACATGGATGGACCTTAAAAACATTATGTAAAGTGAAGGACATAGTCACAAAGGCCCCATGCTGTATGATTCCACCATATAAAGTGTCCAGAACAGGCAAATCCATAGAGACAGACAATAGACTAGTGGTTGCAGGCGTTAGGGAGGGGGGAGTGGAGAGTGACTGCTAATGAGCACAGGGCTTCTGGGTGAGGATGTCCCACTAGAGGAGTTGCTGGGCTGTCTGGGGCAGGGCAGCTGTGTGGCTGTGACTTCCCGAGTGATAAGGCTCCCTTCAACACGGAGCTTCTGAACCAGCCCAACCCGTGGCTCAGGGTTAGCGGAAAGGGTCTGCAGAACTGTTTCCTATCATTTTCCCACTTCTTTTGAGGAAATTGTTAATTTTTCCGGATCTGGAGTCTTTAGTTAAGTTTTTGGGGAGTCAAAAGTTATATGCAGATTTACAATGGCTCAAGTAGGTGTTGGTGTCCCTAACACCCATGTTGTTTAAGGGTCCATTGTACTGTTTTTCCTATACACACACTTATGATACAGTTTAATGTATAAATTAGACACAGTAAGAAATTATCGATAATAATAAAATGGAGCCATTATAACAATATAGTATAATAAAAGTTATGTGAATGCGGCCACTTGTTTCAGGGGACCTGCAGTCTCCATATGGGCTCAATGCTTTCTGATGTGACGCGCTGTCATCATTTGGAACACGATTTCTGCTCATGTCTTCCGCCCACAGACTTAATGCCTTTTCCATCCTAACTAAGCAGTTATCACCAGCTGCGGCTGGAACTTACAGTGTGAGGTGCCACAATAAAACTAGCACAAATTTCCTTTTCCTGCTTCACAATTCACGGATAAAAGATTTGTTCTTACCACAGAGCTTAACAACCTCAGCACACGATTTCTCTTCTTTCCTTACTAAGTCAACCACTTTCACCTTTCCATTTAAAAGCAGCACTGACTGGCTTCTCTTTGGCACATCCAAATTGCCAGCATCACTACTCTGATGCTTTGGAGCCATTACTAGGTAAAAGGAGGGTTACATGAACACAAGCACTGAGAGGCCACACAGTCCGTCTGATCACTTGGACGGCTACACAGAGACTAATGGGCAGATGGCATAAACGTCATGGGCATGTTGGACAAAGGGGATGATTAACATCCTGGGCAGGATGGAGGGGAAAGCATGAGATTCCACCATGCTACTCAGACCAACATGCAGTTTTAAACTAATGAATTGTTTATTTCTGGAATTTTCCATTGAATATTTTCAATTCGCAGTTGGCCAGTGGTAGGTAAAACTTTGAAATGCAAAACCACAGAAAAGGGGGGCGGGAGGCTACTGTACCATCTTCTCTATCCTCCATCATCCGGAGTGATGCCAGCGTCCATGGAGACTAGTCATCCATCCTCACCTCATCATTTCTTGAATCCTCAACCAGCCATTCCCCTGCGTATTCCTCAGAACATGTCATCACTCAGAACTGCCTCTCTCTGAAATCTTATTTTCCAAGATTACTTTCCTTCTGAATTACTCCCAGCCCCTCATCCCTTTAAATACCTCCACCCTTTGGCGCGTTGAGACAACAGATCTAATGATCCTTCTGTTTTCTCTCACTCTACCAGTGTCTGCCTGGCTCCACCTCCTTTCTTGTCCAGTGTAGAATCCCATCATCCATCACTTTGAACCACCTTCTTGCTACCTCCTTGCTGCTGTGTCTTCTGCCTTACCTGCTGCTAATTCCTAATGCGAGAGTCAGCAGGCCTCTTTCTAAAGGACCAGATAGCAAATATTTTAGGCTTTGTGGGACATACAGTATCTGTTGCAACTGCTCAGCTCTGCTGTTACAGCACAAAAACAGCCAAAGACAATATGTAAACCAATTAGTATGGTTGTATTCCAAGAGCCCTTTGATTGTAAAACACAGTCAGTGGGCCCTGGCCAGTTTCACTCAGTGGTTAGAGCGTTGGCCCTTGGACAGAAGGATCTCAGGTTCGAGGGCACATACCTCAGTTGCAGGCTCGATTCCCTGGTTGGGGCACATGCAGGAGGCAACCAATCAATGTGTCTCTCACATAGATGTTTCTCTCTCCCTCTACTTCCTCTCCACTTTCTCTTAAAAAATCAGTGGAAAAAATATCCTCAGGTGAGGATTAAAACTACCCAGTGGGCCAGGGTAGTTTGCCAATCCCTGTCCTAACCTTATTCCAATTTATATATCTATCTTTTCATTCCCACCCTCAGGCTGCTCGGCACTACTGGAGAAAAGCATAGACCCCATAAACGAGGATTGCTGCAAATGACCACTCCTTCACCTTATCAGTGTCCTATCAGTTCCCTCTTCCATTCTCTAGAGCGCTTATTCTAAATCTATTCCAGTCTCTCCACAGCCGTAATATCACTCCAAACTCCTCAGTCTTGGCAGGTGACATCAGACAGTAAGATATTGAGGCCAAGACTACAGTATATGGTACCCGGAGGCTTAATACATCTTAATTATTAAAATCAACAAAACCCTTCCCTCACTCTGATACATCCTTTCTCCTCCTTCCTTACAGGCCCTCAGGATGAGGTGACTCCCATTCTGTTCTGATTCTAGGCCTCCTCCCCCTGATCATGCTCCATCTTGGGCCATCTCCCTCTAACTCACCCTCTCTCGTCTCCTGTCTCTCACCCAGTTTCCTTTCCCACAATAGCCTCTGAAGTGCCGCCTCCCTATTTCACCTCCTCCAAATCCATTCTCCACACTCCTGAGAGAGTAATTTTTCTAAAACACATTGGTAAAGCTACTCATCTGACTTAAAACCATTAGTGACTTGCATTGTTTCCAAAATAAAGTCCAAACTTAACCTGGCAGACAGTGCATCTATCCTGGCTTAACTGTCCAATGTTTTCTTTTATTACTTTTTCATGTACACTTTCCATTCCTTCTCTACTAAGCTGCTTTTAGTTTGCTTATTAAATATTGATTGCCTCCTAAGTGCAAGGCACTGTGGTTGGTGCTGAGGATCCTGTATAATAAAAGCCTAATATGCAAATCGACCGAATGGCGGAATGACCAGTCACTATGACGCGCACTGACTACCCGGGGGCAGACGCTCAACGCAGGAGCTGCCCCCAGGCTAACCAAGGTGGGTGCCAGTGGGGGCCCCCAATCACCCCGCCAGTCACCCTGCAGAGGGAGGCGACGGGGGGGGGGCAGTGGGAGGAGCCAGGGCGCGGGGCTGGCAAGCGGGCAGCGCCAGGCTGGCCAAGGTGGATGCCAGTGGGGGCCCCCCTCCATTGCCCTGCCGGCTGCCCCACAGATCAGCCCTTATCGCTGGCCAGGCCTAGGGACCCTACCCATGCACAAATTTTGTGCATCAGGCCTCTAGTATAATAATAAACAGGGCAGATGTGGTCCCTTCCCTCGTGAAGTTGACATTCCACTTTGGGGGAAAGACATTAAAAAACTTAATGCATATATAATTATATTTAATTAGTGTGACAATTAGTGCTAGGAAGAATAACTGTAGGATGCTGAGATGGCACACAGCTGGGGGATTTGCAATAATCTAGGGGTCAGGAAATCTTGAAGAAGTGATGTTTGAGCTGACCTCTTAAGGATGAGGAAGAGTGAACGGAAAGAGGGGGATAGAAGTCAGAGGGAACAAGAGTCCAAAGATGGTGAAGCCACGTGGTTTGCTTGACAAACGGAAAGAACATCAGGCTGCTGAAAGGCAGCAGCTAGACTGCCCAGGGCCTGGAAGGCTATTGGATCTTTAGGAACATGGGAGCAGCCCACGGTTTAAGTGGGGAGGATTAGTCATCAGGTCGTTCTGGCTGTTCTACGGAGAATAAATTAGAGCTTCACAGAATTTCTTTGCTCAGTCACAACTTCGTATTATTCCTCAGCCTGCATGCCCTTTCTGGAAGAACCGAAGTTTAATTGTTCCTGAGAATAAATGAGAAATTCTTGGGTACTTTTGGAAACAACCAAAAGGAAGCTCTTGTTTATGCTAGTTCTTTCTAATGTGTTCTCCAACAAAACTGCTCAGAACCCGTGCTTCCGTCGAGCACTTGTCACCCCCAAGGATGGACTGCCCATTGGCCCTTTAATAAAAGGGCACTTTCCCAGCTGAGAAAGTCCTCTATGGCACGCACATTTTAATACCACTGGATGGAGAGTGAAAGGAGGGAACAAGACGGGGGGGCAGAGAGCAGAGAAAAGTAAATGAAGAATGCTTCAAAAGAGCATTTTTATTTATGTATTTATTTTTTTAGACTCACCCCATTCCGTTAAGCTCTTGAGGATATCAACATCCCTCTGAGCAATGCTGGGCTGGGCTGGTTTCTGAGAGTCCTGATTGATTACAGTCTCCGCTGGGTCAAACGTCTTGAACGAGGGAGAGACATAGAGTGTCTCTACAGAGGCCTGGTTACAGAAAGTCAAGTCCGACTTGGATATTCTTACACTTGGATGGATAGACTCTTCTTTACTTGATGACCCAAATGCTGATAAAGTTGTCAATATTTCAAAATTTGTCGCATTTGACTGCTTTTCTAGAGGCATTTGAAAAGGGTTTCCTGTTACAGTATTTGTAATGGTACTCTCTGGTTTCTTGTCCAAATTCACATTTGTCTGCAGAGATGGGGTTTTTTCTGAGGGAGTAGATACAGCATCTGTAAAATAACAAATCAAAACTGAAAACACTCTATTTCAAATCTGTTGCAATTTTAATAAATCAACATTTTTATGCCATAACAAAATCCTCTCCTATTTAATTTTCTACTTTCTTACAGTGTTTCTCTTCTGCCTCTTTGAAGTATACCCACACTATAACTGATGCCTGAGTCATTCGAAGGCTGCCTTCTCTGAAGCACAAGGAAAGGAAAGCTTCAAACAACTTGTCTTAAAATATTTCCCCCTTCACTTACTATTCTGTTTCTGAAACCACTATATTTTTAGTACCTTCAAGCTTTCATCTACAAGATAAACTAGAGAAAATTTGGCATAACATATTGGTCTATCCTTACAGAATCCCCCGTCACACACACACACACACACACACACACACACACACACACACACACAAAGTCTTTTTCTCCTGAAATAAAAAAATGTCTTCTTGCCCCAATGTTTCAACAAAGCTCATACAAGAAAATCACTACTTTAGGCAGTGGTCTAATTTTAATAAATCCTTTGTCACATGGGAGAAAAGAGGCAATCTTTCAGAGCTGTTGTGATGATTACTAAAATGTTAAGTTCCATCTGGTCAGGGATCTTTGTCCATTTTATTCATTAATATCACCAAGTATCTGGAGTATAACAAAGTACCTGGACTACAACAGATAAATAATAGTTATTAAAAACAGAAGGAACTGAAGGAGTTCCAAAGAGTTAAATTTAAGGTGGGCCAGATATAGGAATATCTCTTGAATCTATGAAGTATGAGCCTGGTCCAAATTTCCAGGTGCACATTGTTGTCCACACTCAGCCTAGGGCTTGCTCTCAAGTATGGAAAGGAAGAAAATTATTTCTAAGGGAGAGAGAGTTCTTGAAATTAAAAGCATCACTATGTGAGAGAGGACAATAGTGAGGTTATGTCATTCGAAGCTCCCAAAAAAGAGGATACAGGAATTGTGTAATTCGCTATCAGGTGTTTGTATATCACAATGTCCATCAAAACCAACCTCATAATGCACATTCATATGTTAGCAGCATCACTTTCAGGCTCTGAGTTACTAAGAAAAGCAAATTTTCTTAGACTCTAAAAACCTTCCTTTCAATTTTCATCCACAGTTGGAGGCAACCCCGGGCAAAAACGCTGCTAGTACACCAGTTAGACAATTCAAGAAACGTACAGCACTACCTCTACCAGGAATTCCATTTTTTCCCAACCCTTTCATCTCCGAACTTCCTTATCTTTCAAAACTCAACTCAAGAATCACCTTCTCTATCTCCTTTTCTTTCCTGCCTGTAACCTATTATTGTCTATCTTGCCATATCCTATTTGGAACCCTGTGAATAACATTTCATCTCCTTTATTACAAGGCTCCTCTCCCCCACCTGAAAACAGGCCCTCGGGGAGACCTTGTTAGGAGTCATCTTTGCATCTCAGCACCTGAGAGTGCCACTCCCATAGGATGTGTTCGATAAATGCTTGAGTGAAGGACAGACTGAAGCACAAGGACCAAGAAAAAGTAATGCCTTTGTTTTTCTAAGCTGAATGTAGTTTACTTAGTAGTGACGAAAGGAAATAGAAAACTGGTAGATGAAAACAACTTCTAGAATACTCCTAATTTGCATATGAGAAAGTTATATCTAGTTGGTAAAGGTTCTGTTAAAAATACTAACATATTCCTAGTAGAATACTAGATTTATAGTATTCCAAAGTACATGTGTACATCTCTATATTTACATAAAAGTAAATTTTAGTCAAATATTTTCTGTTGACTTTCATTTTACATGTGAGAAAAATGGGGGGGGAGTCTTTTTCTATATGGTTGTAAGATTCTAATTGGTTTTTTAAATTTTTAAATATATATATTTTTTTTATTTCAGAGAGGAAGGGAGAGGGAGAGAGAGAAACATCAATGATGAGAGAGAATCATTGATTGGCTGCTTCCTGCACACCCCACACTGGGGATCGAGCCCACAACCTGGGCATATGCCCTGACCGGGAATCGAACTGTGACAACCTAGTTCATAGATGGGTGCTCAACCACTGAGCCACACAGGCTGAGTGCAAGATTCTAATATTTCATATGAGATGGCAATATAATGAGATGGTGAAATGTTAAAGATATATAATTTAATCCCTGAAGAAAATACTAAAATTCATGCAAAGAGGTATAACTAAGAAGCCAACTGCTAAGTTAAAAATTTTAAAGTATTGAATTAGCTCAAGAGAAGACAGCAAGGAAAGCACAGAGGAATAAAACACAGGTGGGACAAACAGATGGGACAAGAAGAAAGTAAAAGAGTAAATCTAAATTCAACTGTATCAGTAATTATACTAAAATGCAAATTATAAAGCATAAAATTTCAGACTGGATAAAAAACATAAGATCCAATCATATGCTGTATACAAGAGACAAGCTTAAAAACAAAGTCACATGTAAAGTTAAGGATTGGAAAAAAGATATCATGCAACAGTAAACCTAAAAAAGCTCAGTGGCTATCTTAATATCAGGTAAAATAGGCTTTAAGACAAGGAGTATTACTAGAGAATAAAAAGGACATTTCATAATGACAAAAGGGCCAAACATCTCAAAGATATAACATTATAAATGTGTAAATACCTAATAATAGAACTACAAATAAATGAAGTGAAAAAAATGACAGAATTAAGGCGAGAATTAGACAAATCCCACTAAATCACATTTGGCAATTTTGACATCCCTCTCTAAGTAACTGATAGAATAGATGAAAAATCAGCATGAATATCAAAGATGTATATAACACTTAACTCACTTGGCTCAATCAACATCTACAAACCACCACACTCAACCCTGGCATTGGTAGGTTTTTTCTCCTTGAAACTCATTCCTCCATAAATGCTTCAACAGAACTTTGCTGGCTCTCCTCCATCTCTCTAGGCCAGCAGTTCTCAACCTATGGGTCACAACCCCTTTGGCGGTCGAACGACCCTTTCACAGGGGTCGCCTAAGATCATCCTGCATATCAGATATTTACATTATGATTCATAACAGTATGCCGGGAGCCGGTCCATCCTTGCTGTTTCAAAGGACCTGGCATATATGGCATACTGTTCTTAAAATGTTTGCTCACCTTCTTGGCACTATGTGTTTTAACCAAGGTCTCCTCTCTGAGAAAGGCTGTTTCCCCAGGTAGGGATTTTCCCCTGAAGTTAGGGAGGGAATAAAACCTCTTAACTAAGTGCCAGGCGGGTAATTAATCACTTTAACTACGAACAATCATGCTTAAGCTACATAATCTTTACTCCCTGGAATGGAGATAAGAAACGCCCTAACCTTTGGAATAGAGATTGATAGGATTGGAATCAACTGGTATAAATACAGTTGTAACAAGACAACAGCAGACAGAACTTAGAAGACAGAACTTAGAAGACAGAACCTACACAGAACCTAGAGAACCAGACAGAACCTAGCTGAGAGAACATGGCAAAAGATCCTGGACTGAACCTGACTACAGAAATTGGCAAGAGAACCTGACTAGAACCTGGTGACTGAACCTGGCTGGAGAACCTAGCGAGGGAACATGGCTACTGAACCTGACTATAGAACATGGCAAGAGAACCTGACTAGAACCTGGCTACAGAACCTGGCTGGAGAACCTGGAGAACCTAGCAAGAGAACATGGACACATAACCTGGCTGGAGATCCTGGCTAGAGATCCTGGCTAGGCTGCTGATCAACTGAACACTGTCTCCGTGTCCTTCCTTCTTCGCCGACTCCGTCCACACCTTTGGGGACCCCTGGACCCGCTGGGGTTGGACCCCAGCAACAGTAGCAACATGACAGTGATGAAGTAGCAACGAAAATAATTTTATGGTTGGGTCACAACATGAGGAACTGTATTTAAAGGGCCAGAAGGTTGAAAACCACTGCTCTAGGCAATCTTCTCAATATTCCTCCCTGGCTCTGATCCCTCTAAATTGCAGACATTCTATCCTTGACCCTTTTATCTTCTGCTCCTACAATCTCCCAGGGTGATATCATCTATTACCTATTTAAACTAGGAGTAGATCTATCACCTGTATGCAGGTAATGCACACATTTTAATTCTCAGCCCAGATGCCTGCTGAAGTCTAGCCCCAAATATAAATATAATATAAGCCCCAAGTAATATAAATATATATATATTACTCTGCCCAGGGAGGTCTTATTGCCCTCCAGCCTCCTCATCCTTGGGTGTACACTTTACCTCTATTAATATGACCATCAAGCACAATTCACCATAGCTAAGATTTGGAAACAGATTCGGAGAACCAAGATGGCAGCATAGGTTAACGCCGGAGTTTGCTGCTCTGAACAACTTCAAAAGTGAAACTAAAAGACAGAACGGACATCACCAAGAACCACAGGAACGCTGGCTGAGTGGAAGTCCTACAACTAGGAGGAAAGAGAAACGCATACGGACACTCAGAGGAGGCGCAGTGCTGAAGTCAAATTCTGAGGTGCGGAGTGCGCGGAGCGGGCTGGCGGCGGAGGGCGCGGTTGGCGTTTTCAATCGGGAGGGAGTCGAAGACTCTGAGCTCCAGATCCGGGCGAGTCTCTAGGGACCCAGACTCAAACGGGAGAAGCGGGACTGTCTGGCTTCGGTCAGAGCGAGTGCAGCTTTCTCTCTGAGCTTTGCAGCGGGTGCTGGGACTCAGAGAGGCAGAGCCCCTGGGGACAGGACTGAGAGCCGCCATAACTGCTCTCTCCGGCCCACCCTGTTGATCCTGTGCGACCCGCCCCGCCCAAGCCCTGCACAGAGGCATTTGCCGGATAGCCTCAGGCAAAGGCTAGATTAGCACCTCCCTAGAGGACAGAAGTTCTCTCACTGCTGACACAGCTGATTCTCATAGCCAATTGGCCTGGAGGTCAAACCCTCCCTGGTATTAGCTACAACAAGGTTTAACTATAAGACTGCGAACAAAGACCACTAGGGGGTGCACCAAGGAAGCATAACAAAATGCGGAGACAAAGAAACA